AACAAACAAACAAACAAACAAACAAACAAACAAACAAACAAACAAACAAACAAACAAACAAACAAAACAAAACAAAACAAAACAGACCAGTCCAGTTTTACCACACAGGTGCCCCCCATTCAGTTCCTTTTATTTTTGGTGCCCCTCTCTCAGCATCTTGATTTATCTTAATTGTTCGTAAACAGAGTTGTTTTCCCCTGACACTTGTCTCGTTTGTCTCACAGACGAGGATAAGAAGAGACGTCGACTTTGCACTCTGCGTAGAAACAAAKAGTTTGTCAGTAAAACCCCTCTGTTGTTCGGCCCCCACCCCCTCCTGTTTTCTTTTCACAACAGGAACATCTTGAGCTCTTGGTTCTGTCGCTCAGTCTGATTCTGCTCGTATCCTCGAACTGGCAGAGGACGCTCATTATCTTTGCCTTTTTTTTTTGTTGTTCTCTGCGGAAGGAGGGGGGGGGGGGAAGTGGGCAATTATAGTCCTGCTCTTGTAGAGAGCCAAACCTTTTTATAATGAGAAGATCTCCTCAAGCAGGAAGTATTGTGTGTTTGTTTGTGTGTGGACTTTATGCTAATGTAAGTTTCTGCTTATTTCAAAGTGTGACCAATAAAAAGCACAGGAGACAYGGATTCTGTCTGATGTTTTGAAMTCTGGAGCTGTTCTGCGTGAACACGACGCTCTCTGTAACATGTTCACAGAAAACTAAACACGGGTGAGAGGAAGGCGTCAGAGCGCCGTCAGAGCGCCATCAGAGCGCCACGAGGAGACGTTGTTAAAGCGAGGGAGGGGATCAGCTTTTACGATGAAAGCGTCAGAGGCAACTGTTTTGGTTCTGATCCTTCTCTGCAACTTTCAGAGCATCTCTTCAGATGATTTAAAGTGGTAATCAGAGGGATAATGGTTTGTTTTGTTTTCAGTCATGGCACTAGGCACTTATTGCGTCCTTGTTTTATTTATTATTTATTTTGCTGCTCATTTATCCAGCAATCAGTAGCAGAGAGCGTTGGTGGAGATGACGCCTTGCATCAACCACTCTGTTTAACTAAAACAAACTGACGGCATCACTTCCTGTTTGTGTGTTTTTATTTCCTCAGTTTGCTCCCAGTACTCCCGCGGTGTCTTCGCCATCTTCGGCCTGTACGACAAGCGCTCTGTGCACACGTTGACGTCCTTCTGCAGCGCCCTGCACATCTCCCTCATCACGCCCAGCTTCCCCACCGAGGGCGAGAGCCAGTTCACCCTGCAGCTGCGGCCGTCCATCCGCGGTGCGCTGTTGTCCCTCCTCGACCACTACAAGTGGAACAAGTTTGTCTTCCTGTACGACACGGACCGAGGTGAGTGATGAGGATGATGTTGAGGATGAACCAGTCATGGAGTCAGAACAACATGCTAAAGTTTGCTGAATAAATTTAGCTGTTTAAAAAAACGAAAGTTAAAAATAAATCAAAGAAAGCTAAATGAAAGCTAAAAATAATGTTAGCTTAAATGAGCAGAACCATAGCTATAAACAAAAAACAAAGCTTTAGCTAAAAGCTAAAACAAAACAGCTAAAAAAGCTAAACTCTAGCTAAGAGCTAAAATAAATTAAACAGCATCTAAATACTAAACTTAGCTTAACAGTAGCAAAAGTGTAAAAAAGCTAAACTATAGCTAAAAGATAAACTTAGCAACTCTATAACCCAAGATAAAATGGCAAAACAGCATCTAGAGGCTAAACTTATCAAAACTATAGCAAAAGGATAAAACTGGGAAAACTGAAGCTAAAAGGCAATTTAAGCAAAATTCTACTTAAAGCAAAAAACTAAACATTAGCTTAAAGCTAAAAATGCTAAACTGTAGGTAAAAGATAACAAAACAGTGGCTCAAAACTAAAATAGMAGAACTATAGCTAAAAGCTAAAAGAAGCAAAACACTAGCTGAAACTTTAATCTTAGCTAAACAGCATCTAAAAGCTAGAATCAGCAAAACCGTAGCTAAAAGCAAGTCAAAATGTACTCACTCACTCACTCTGTACTTAMAAATGAAATAAAGGTAAAACAGTAGCTAAAACTAAATATAGAGTAACAGGACAAAAACACAACRAGTATTCTGAAGATTTCAGAGATTAACAGAAAAGATGTCAACATAATTCTTGTTGGTTATAAGTATAAAAGTTACAAATACGTTAAGTACGATAAGTTAAAATTCTAATTGAGACAAGTATTTTGATGCATGAACATTTAAAGTCTGATTAAAATTCTGAATGCTGACRAGAAATGTGGAAAGAAGATTAGCTGAAAAAGAAATGAAAGTTCTTGATTTACGAGTTACTTAGTTTGTACCCAAAACAAGATGCAAGCAGCTGAAGTTAGCTTCCTGTTTAGGCCGAACTCAGCCGTAGAGAGGGTGATAGAGTGAGGAGCTCCTCTGTGTGGAGGGATGTCTGGGTTTTCCACCTGGACCTGTTGTCCTGTAACCTGACCTATAGGTGAAAGAAAATGACTTCTTAAGACTTGAAATGAAGTAATTCCTCAACGATCAGCTCTGCGTTCTAAAYACAGTTGTGTATTTTTGCTCCAGCTGTTAAATCCACGTGTGAGTGAATGTTGTCCTTTTCTAAAGTCAGGCCTCTATTGAAGGTGAGCGTTGTAACTCGGTCTGTGTTGCTTTATTCCCAGGACAGAGATGAGTTCTCAGTCCCACCAGCAGAGTCAGAAGGTTTGTACGGATTCACCCCACCATGTCACATTTCCATTACAAGACAGAAAGGATATGGGCCGCTGCCTGGATCACACCTCCACATCTCGATTTCATATATTTTCCAGGAGCTAGTCAGAGTTTTTTATTCGTTCTCCTCTGCTCCGAGCTGACCGTTGGAGCAGATTGGGTCTTCACTCTGCAGCCAATCTCTCCACCAAAAACTCATTCCCCGCCTCTCTTTCTCTTATCTGGGGTCACACATGCTTGACTGGTTAAAAAGCCTTCTCCCCTCTCAACAAAAGCCACTTGTATCTGATCGAGTGTTCTCCAGAAGCTCTACAAGGGTTCCTATTTGTAAGACCGTATCGCCCTGTGGACGGGCCAAGGACACGACGTGACTTTAATGCAGAAGCTCTTCGGAATCTGAATAATTTAGAGAGGTCRAATTTGTGTGCTGAGAAGGAAACCTCCTGTGAGAATGGAGACAKCCTGGAAAATTTAAACAAGTTCAAACAAAACAGGACAGAAATGCCTAAAACTCATGAACMACCCTTCAAGCTCTTTCCCTTTTCATTTAGATCAGTGGTTCCCAATCTAATATGCTAACTTACATTTAGTCTTTTATAACATTCATGCAAACACAAATTTATAAAAAATACATTTGACCTAATATACAAAACAAATAAGCAAATAATACAATGTAAACCACATTTAATTTAGTCATTTAAAACACTAGAATCAATAACATGTCAATAGTAACTCAAATTGTTTAAGAAACTAGCATTAGCATTGTGCTAATTAGCTGCTAATACAGTGTAAACCCTATAAAAAATGTTAGCTAAATGCTAATTTCTCCTTACGCAGGAAAAACACATTTTCTTGATAGTTTACAACAAAAATGAATCTGCACACGTAATATTGCAATATTAAACAACTTACCATGTTTATTTATTTACTTATTTCATTTATAAAACTAAATAATCTATAAACAATGAAATAAAATAACAAAAAAACCAAAAACAGAACAAGTAAAAAGCAAATCAAGCCATATTTATCTGTAGTTATAGAAGTTTTCTTGTTTCTTTTAAGACGATTGCTTCTTTTGTTGGTGGCAAAGTCACTTCCGGTTTCAGACAAAATCCTTCAGAATAAAAGTAAACAATCTACAGAGGTCCCAAGTGGAATGGATGGAGTCAAACCAACACTCCACCTCTCCCAAAGATGCATCAAAATAAAAGAATAAAGTGAAAAGTTACAAACCTTTATTGTTATAACTGAGTTATACAGAGTTTTGATTTTTTTTAAATGGCCTGTTTTGATCATTTTTATTTACAATGAATTGATATTTTTACAACCTCTGAGCAGACAACCCCCCCCCACACACACACACAAACACTGATCTATATGTTTYATATTATGAAAAGCAGATTTGAAAACCTCGACTACGTTACGAAGTCATCATCGTTTCTAGGTCTGCTCACTCGTCATCAGAACATTGCTGCAGACAGACGTGATGATGCTCTGAGAGGGATTTTCAGAGAGCTTCTGCGTGAAGGCTGTGAGATTTTATTTTTTTATTTTTTGTTACGCAGCTCCAGAAATTCATTCAACATGAAGTAAAATAGAAGTAGAGTCGGCCCACGCTCTGTCAGCGAGCTGCCGTCTGATTTCCTGCATCGAGGAGGCGGAGAAACACGAGAAGGCTGCAGGACAGAGTCTGTTTACAGGTTTCCCTTAATGAAGGCATTCCTGGAAAGAATTCACGTCACCCACCACCGCTTATACCAGATTTAACCAGCTTTAAGATTAAACTATGTAGAGAAATGAGAGATGGAACCTTGAAATAACGTTTCTTCAAACTTAACTAAGAACCATTTTGTGTTGCTGCTACTTCATGTTTCAGCTCAAAATCTTTCAAACTGACTGAGTTATAAACATTTTGTGTCTGAAGTCTGTTGATTGATTGATCCTTCTTAACGTCAAATGAGTCCTTTGGACACAGAGTCTTCGTCATTGGCTGTGAGCAGTAATTTGAACTTAATACAAAACAAGCCTAATATGTAATAAACACAACCAAGGATGGGTTTAAGATGGGAAAATAAAAGATAAGAGGACTGATGAAGATAAAAAACAAGAATTTATGTCATTTCTTTCTAAGAGAAAAAAAAACAGAAGTAAGTAAAGAACTGTTGAGGAAAAAAAGGACTGAAAAAGAACAAGTGGATTATTTAGATAAAATAAGTGAACAAAGATGGAGGAAAGATGGGGCKGTTTAGGTAAAAACAAAGAATAGAAAGATATGAGGCAGAGTAGAAATTAAAAGTAGAAAGATGGGACAGAGAAATAAAGAAAAAAAAGGAATGAACTAAAACAAAGTAAGATACAAACAATAAAGGTTTAAAAAGGGCAAGTGAGCACAAAGGAAGAGAGGAAGGATGAGATGAAGCTTAAAGAAGTGAAAGATGAACAGAGCAAAAACATCAGAGCAGTTTGTCCAAATATAAAGAAAAGAAAAAAATACATGATAATAGAACAAAGGAGGAGGTTAATAAAGAAGAGAGGACTTAAAACAAGAGACTAAGTTAAATGAAGTTAAGCAAAGTCAAGGTGAGGAAATGAGATGGAAAGGGACTAAAATAACAGATGATTGGGACATGAAACTAATTAAAATACTAAATTAAAAATAATAAAAGAAAAGATGGATGAAGGAAATGGAAAAAAGAAAAATGTTTTTGACAGAAACAAAGAAAAGAAAAAGTAAAATAAAGGAAATGAAGGGAGGAGGAGTTGGAATGTGGATTGAGGGTGACTCTCATCTACTACCACACTGAATTATCTCTCTTCACTAATATCAGCTAGCATCTTAAATCGCTGTAAGTTTTAGATATTTATCTGATGATTAGGTTTCAATAAAACGCCTGCAGCAGCTGCCTCCCTGCGTCTGGCTCGCCTCAGATCTGAGCACGGCAGCGGCGGTGGCCCGCACCGGCCCCTGCGGCCGTGTCTCTGACGCTGATTGCGGCTGGCTGCTGGTCCACATAAAACCCTGCAGCAACACATTTATCAGCTGGTAATCTGCCGGCCCGCTCCGCTCGGACCTCCTCCGCCTCGGCAGCTTCCTGTCCGGGCTCCTTAAACGCCACGCGGTGCAATCGGACATGATGCCTCATCTTGTTGCTGCAAAATGCGAGTAACAGCTGCTGATCTGTGGGGTGGTACAAACGTATCACGCTGCACTGGTTTCACTTGTTTTTATGGTGCAAAGCTGCAACTTTTACTCTGTTATTGACACCAAAATGTTGACTTTTATGTGAAGCGTCTTCTTTTATGAGCTGCTTCTGGATAGAACATAACACAGATTAATCTGGAAGTTTCATTTAAAAAATTAGCTCTTTTGTACCATTTTATGACGAACAGGAGGTTCACAAGTTGGGAGGCTAACCAAAAAATATTGTAGAACATGAAAAATGCTTTCCCCTGGCATTTGGAACAAGGCTGGGAGGGTGTTTAAGAGTCCAAAAATCAGCAGTTTATGAGGACAGTTTGTGAACATTTTCATTTGTGAGAATACCTGTTTAACAAGAGATTTTAACAATTTACTCTTTCATTTTTATTATTTTAACAGCTTGGGAAGTAAGAAGAAAAATGCCTCAATGCCTACTAGCATTTTAATAATTAAGTTAAAATTTCAAATATATAATAGCTTTGCTTTAAATATTATTTTATGAAGAAGGTAACATTAAAACATTTTAACGAGTTTAATTTTTTTAAAGAAGTTGTGCTTGACTTCATCAGCTCTTCAAACATGATGATCATTAACTCATGTCCAGTTAAAACATGTTTGTATTGTTTCAGGGATGTTCGATGTCTTTCAATAAAATAAGAGTGGAATGTTGAAGGTGTATTTTAACACCTGACAGTGTCAGTTATTTAAAAAATCAGAACCGACAGGTGAGGATAAGATCGSAGCACGATCATCCAACCTAAAACTACCTTCATCAGTATTTTTCAGACCAGGATTCCCCACTAGATGGACTGTTCCAGCTTTTCTAATGCAATACTTCACAACTTGAATAAAAAACGATGGAAACACAGCTGTTGATAACTTAAAGCAGACAAAAACATTCCCATCTACAGCATAAACACAGTAAAGCTGATGTCATTGGGTTAGTAGAATATCTCATAACCTACTGACAACTAAGAACAGGTCAAAATAAATGTTGTTTTTTGACAGTAGCAAACGTATGTGGCGAAAATGTGCCTAAATGGAGAAATTGGCGAAATTTTCTSTCTGTCGTGTAATTTTGAACCGTGTGCAGGGACGGTTCAAAAGAAGTGGTACTTCCCTCAGGTTCCAGTAAAAACTGGTCATCATGACAATAATAAAGCAGTACGTTGGGTATAAGTGTCAAACATACTCAGTTCTTCCAGTTAAAAAAGGTCTTTGACCCCTCTGTGACGCTCTGTGTGCAGTAAAGACGTGTTTCCTGTTTTTAACATACAAACCCATTTGTCTTCACTTACAACTGAAAACAAAGTCGTCCCATTCAGGGATCTCTCCTCCCTGCAGCTAAAAATGTCATGAAGCATTTTCCCCCTCGAGGCCAGCTGGGGATATTCTGACATGATTCATGCTTGTGTGTGTGTGTTTTTTTTCTCTGTAGTCCCTCCTGGCACCGACTACCCTCTAATGGGGAGCGAGGGGCTAAGGAGGGGATAGAGGAGGTGGAGAGGGAGCCGGGTTGCCAGAACACAGGTTAATCCACTAATTGGGAGCAAAGGGAGACGGGTTGCCAGATTGCGACGGCCACCATGAGGGGCCGTTTAAGGGGGACATCTGTTCCTGCTGGAGAACAGCCGCCCTCACAGCTCCCGAGCTTCCTCTGTGACACTCATCTTCTTCATGCCCATACCTGACAGCGAGCCCCCCTCCATCCCCTGACTGGACCTAAAAACTAGGATCTGCCAGGATAAAGATAAAAGCTGGAGAGGAGTTYGTGTTGTTGTGCCAGGATTGTTGGGCCAACAAAAACCAGTTTGTGATTGAAACGAGTAATTTAGGCAGCAGCTTGTTATCTCTTCACAGCATCGAGTTCCACACTTTAAAACACACATTTGTTTTAGTTCAGCCAATAAAACTGATCCAGATACTGACAGGAAAACATATTCAGTGCTGAAAGTGGTTGCTTTTGTTAAACTAACACCTAAAAACTGAGTATTTATAAATGTGTACTGCTAAAACTAGAGCTTTAAAGGAGACATATCATGCTAAATGCACTTTTTTTGCATTTATAAACTATTTTTTGTGCAGTTATAGTGTCTAGGGGCATAGGAAACTTTAATTTATTCTGTCCAGTTACTGCAAAGATATTTTTATATTTTTTTATGGGTCAAATTTTTCAGTTTGTTCAAAATCTGCTGTTGCTTATTTCGTTTCATTGTTTATTTCGTCACACTTTTTTCTTCTGAACTACCATTTATGGTAATGTATTTCAGGCCAACTGGATTTCATAATCCACCATTCTTTTCCTCACTGTGTGATTTTGTAGTTCATAGTGTCATGCCGAATATGCAAGTTCAGAAGTCAAAATGTTTGGTTCTGGGGTGTGTAAACCCACATTATTATCTACATAGACTACCAGCATCAGAACTTCTTCAAAGTCTTCAAAGTTTTAGTCGGTAGATACCTGTGTTTTTGCTATGAAACTACAAACATGGCCCAACGGGGTGGAGTCGAACGCTCAGCGACCTGGAGGGGGCGGGGTGTGAAATATCTCATTTATATTTAAAGAGACCGCACCAAAACAGCTTGYTCTGAGGCGCAACTCAGAACAGGGGTAAAGCAAGGAAAGCAAGGAGTCTGTGGAGCAACAAAAAYGAGGAATTAAGACCAAAGCGTTGCAGTTTTATTTTAAATAGACCATAAGTGAATGATTTAGACGTGAAAAAGGATTTAAAAGCATGATATGATACCTTTAACATGACAGGTACTGTCAAATTACTTATTTAAATGTAATATTTTGTTGCAGCTCAATAAAAACCATGACAGGAAACAGAACGCAGAGAAGAATTCTTCCTAAAAAAATACACGTTCTCCGATATTTCAGGAAAAAAACATGTAGGCCATTTTAAAGAAAAAGACTGTGTTTCTTTAAAGGAATGCACATAATCCACATTTTACTAATGTTTTAGTTTTAGTGAAACTTTTTTTTTCAAAAAATGAACTTTTGTCTGTGTGTTCATGTAAAGAAAGTGGAAAATGATGCGTTAAACTAAACAAAGTTATTTGTTACTGTGGCGACAGTGGAAAGAAAAAACTCACTTTTAACAGGAAGAAACCTCCAGCAGAACCAGACTCAGAACTCTAGCAACAGCATTTTGGATCAGCTGAAGGAGTTTAAGGTGTTTCAGCCTAGATTCAATACAATCTGCTGGCTTCCTTAGATTGTTTTTGCACATACACCTGAAACGGCTTTCGTTGTGACTYGGTGCTGTGTAAATAAACTGAACTGGATTTATTTCCTGCTCATTTTTGCTCACAGCAGTACAGGAACAGTGCAGATTTAACACAAAATGAAAGACGCTGAAAGCTTCTCTTTTCCTTGTGTGTGTAACTTGGTCAGGTTACGCCATCCTGCAGGCCATCATGGAGAAGGCGGGGCAGGACAACTGGCAGATCAGCGCCATCTGCGTGGAGAACTTCAACGACGCCAACTACCGGCAGCTGCTGGAGGACCTGGACCGGCGAAAGGAGAAGAAGTTTGTGATCGACCTGGAGTCGGAGAGGCTGCAGAGCATGTTGGAACAGGTGACGCTGTCGTTGCATCACTTCTTACCTGTTTAATTTGGTTTTACACTAGAGTAACTAGTGGTGTAACAATACATCCATCCACATTGATATATTGATTAAATGATTGTTTTATAACATCAAGGCAAAACATTGATCATATCATCATCATATGCCCAATGTGGATCAAAATATTCATCGCAAACTTGTGAATTAAATCAAAATTGTGTCACGACAGACTTTGTGATATCGATAAACATCATATCGTCATACAAACAAATCGTTATATCGTATCATGATAAAGCTGTAGATTTACACCTCAAGTTTAAACTAGTGCTTCTCAAATGTGGGGGGGGGGGGGGATGGGGGGGTGGGGGGCGCCAAATGAGTTCTTAAAGGGCTTGTGACATGCTCATCTTTCAAATACAAAACGTCAATGAAAACATATTTATATCTAAGAAAATTAGCATAATACACATGATTTTACCCATTTTATCTCAAAACTGGACTATTTTCTCTTGAATTTGGCTCAGCAAAGAGAAACAGGAAGTGACATCAAAGGAGAACTCTTCAAGAAAAGAAACTCTAGTCTTTGTTTATTGAAACAATCTTATTTAAACTCTTCAACTCTTATAGTGACTCAAAAATAATCTAAAGAAACATAAGATTCTTCTCTAATTATTGCAGCATCGCTCTGTTTACATGCAGACATTCTCCTTTGACATCACTTCCTGTTTCTTCACATGCAAATATCTCAACAACTGTTCATCGCAACAGTGTGAAATTTGTTTTGCAATATGTTATCAATGTTCTCTTTCCAAAAACACATTCACATTTATTACAAAAATTTTATGTCACAGGCACTTTATAAAGTACATTTTTAAATAACTCATTGGCCTTATTTATAGTAGGAGCACCACAGTAATCAAAATACATAATATCCTGAAGTAAAAACATCTTTTTCATCTTCATTTATTATAACAATAGATTTTAAATCACCAGTGCAGCAAAATTAAAAAGGTGAAAGATAATAATACTCATTCTTTTGCATAATTCAGTGTTTCCCCTGCCATTTGGAGGAGATTATATTCAATGCAGGTGCCAGAAAGTCATACAGTGGTTTGTACAGATAAATAATTAAATATGATCAGGATCTCCATAGTATTTAAATTTTTCATTTCCGAGTGTGGAGACATTTAAACTCAGTCACATATTCTGACTGTTTGTGGTTTGATTTAAAGAAAAAGGAATATTTTGTGCCTCAACTGAGCGCTTAGTGATTAAACAAATTAAAACCTTTCGACTCATCTGAAATGTGCTGCAGCTCTGATGAGTGAATATTGGGTGAACAGTTAAACCTGTTTATATAAAGTTTATAACTCAAATAATTTAATGGAAGCTGATGACAGGAAAGATGTTTACCTTGTGGGTTTTCAGTGTTGGTTTTGCTCTGGTTAGAGCGTGCCGTTTGTGCTAATTAGGCGGGTTTTGAATGTGAAAAACGTCTGTTTTGATCTCCAGCAGTGGCGGTTGGCATAAACACACTCAGAATATGATGTGCCTCTTCCTCCTCCTCCTTTTCGTCCTCATCACTTCATCCTACCATCTCTCCATCAGGTGTTTTTGTAATTTTTTTCAATTATTCAGAGCGTCTCCAAGCTGACATCTGTCATTTTACCTCTGCAGATGTTTCTTTTTATCCTCTTGAACAGGATATCTGTCGTATTAAGATCTTAATTTTTTTTAAATGATGCTCTGGTTTATTCAGTGGTGGTCAGCTCCTGCAAAAACACATAAACCTAAGCTTACATAGTGATTATTCTGTACATATTTTATATCAAACTGTCCAAAATGAGGTTCTGAATACTTAATTAGGTTCTCATTAGCAGCTTATTTCGAACTACAGAGTCAGCACATTTGATGACTTTGAAGAAGTCAAATGTTATTTTGAACATCGGAGCATAAAACCTGCAGAGTTTACAGATGAGGACGGGATTTACTTAAAATCGATCAAGTGAAGAGTATGTTTACTTGAAATGTTAAAATAAACACCAATTAAGTCCCACACCTCTTCCTTTGAGTTTGTTTCTTCTCAGGTGTGTCTCCATAGAAGCCGTCAGTGGTGGGCACAGCTAACCAGAGTATTAGGTTCACTAAACACTAACCTTAGTGGAGGCTAACGCTAAACAGATAAAGACATTAGTGGAGGCTAATGCTAAACCACTAAACAGATAAAGACATTAGTGGAGGCTAATGCTAAACCACTAAACAGATAAAGACATTAGTGGAGGCTAATGCTAAACCATTATAAAGGTTTGTGACAAATTGGCCATTCCAAACAAGAGCTAAAGGTYTGTCTTACTTGTGATATTTGCAGTTTACCCCTTTCAGAATAAAAGTATTTCTTTGATTGAGTTTGTAATTTTGCAAATACTGTTTGAAGTTAGTCAAACAACAAATAGCAAATACTTTCTCAACCATTTTTATAGGTTGTTAATTTTTGTATTCATTATTTAAAAATGGTTAAATGTTATTTAATTTCTTTTTGATGTTCTTAGTTTGAAGTTTAGCTGCTAAATATGCTACATGCTACATACACAGAGCCTGAAATGTCAAGCTTTGCTTGTAAGAAGGAATACTTTTTATTTAACTTGGCATAAACAGCATAAAACTAGAATATGCTTGTGGACCTAAAATTATTGGAACTTAATTTAGCGAGAGCTAATTGGTCTGCCGCTAACAGTTTCCAAAGTTAGCAAAAAAGCTAAACAGCTAAATGAGAAACTAGGTGTGGATTAGCAGATTACTTGAAATAATGTAAAATAATATGATAATAATATTGTAAATCTGTAAACATGCATTAAAACTGAAAATATGGTTTTAGTCTCGACTAAATGTTTTCAAATTAGTTAGAAACAAAAAGACAAACGTGTACAAATTATTTTCAGATCTAGCAAACATTAAAAGCATTTTGTATTTGTCATCATTTCTTCACTTGTAATTTTGTAGGTCAGGTCGACTCAGCCATAAATTATCTTCCTGTTGAATCCCAAAAAACTGACTTAGATTTGTGACATTGGTAAAATGAGTCAGAATGACTAGAGGCTTCAGTGCAAAACACATGATCATAAAATACTGTAAAAACACCAACTCCTCCTTTAAAGTGCGGCCACAGAAATACCAAACACAGATGTAAAAACACCCGACTAAACGGTCCACAAACACCACGTTAGTAAACAAGGAGTAAGCTCTGTGCTTCGGCTGATATCTGCTTTGCGAAGCTGCAGCGTTTCTAATCTGATTTCCTGATGAAAGCCAGGAGAAAACGCAGCCGGTGAGTCAGAGGGATGTGGGCCGAGCTTCGGGCTGCTCATCAATGTTGATTCAGAGGCAGGAGACGTTTAAAAACCCATCAGTGACGCAGCTCGAACAGGAACAGAAAACCGTTTTTTCCTCTTCCTTCATATTGTTGTTTCGTAGCAGCTGGGATGCCACAGATTYGTTTTCTGTGATGGTTTAATGATGTCTGGAAGAAAGCACTAACAATTAACTGTGAATTAGAGGTTGTCCTCATACTATTTTTTTTTATCACACTGAGTACAAAAACTTGCAGATACTGAGTACTGATACAGAGTAGTTCAGGAATTAGTACCTAAATATTGTTTGTTTTATTTCTAACACATTTAATACAGACAATTTAAGCAAAGAAGAGCAAAACAAAATGTAAGGAACAATCTACACATTTTAATTTGGTATAATTTTATATCATCCTTCAACTGCTCTGAGTTTTAAAGATCAACATCTGCATCATCTTGTAGTTTCACACCAGACATCAGTTTTCAGATTCAGTTTTTGTCGTTCTGTTCTGAGATGCCCTCCTCTTCATCGGTCCGGACGGTTGATCCCCTCCGCATTCAGCCCGTGACCCTCTGTGCCGAATGCCCATCCGTTCGCCCGTCACGCCCGTCATTTAATGCAATTACCAGGCGCTGCGCTGTAATCTGCTTGGATTAACGTGCATCTCTGCTTTGCCCCATTCACAGATCGTCAGCGTTGGGAAACACGTGAAGGACTACCATTACATCATGGCCAACCTGGTGAGAAACCATTGTTTTCCTCTAACTTTACACTGAACTGTGAGTTCATCTTCAAGGTTACTTTTCAAAATAAGAGCACTAATAAAATCTGTTATGAAATTTTTAAGGTAATTTAAGCTGGTAAGAACCTAGATTTAATGACTGGATTGATAAATTCTGATGACTCTGATGTCTAAAATTATTGTTTTCACTTGTTTATCTTAAATTTAATTTGTTATTTTTTGTTTAATTTGCATTTTAATTTGCACAGMTTGGGGTTTAGGTGATCAAAAGTTAGAAATATGAAACAAAAACCAAACACTGCTGTCTCTGGCTTCTTCATCCTTCCTGTCACGTACCTGTCTGAGAGTTTAACCAGTTTGTTTTTCTTTGTCCTTGAAGGGTTTTAAGGACATCAACCTGGAGCGCTTCATGCACGGCGGCGCCAACGTGACCGGCTTCCAGCTGGTCGACTTCAGCAACCCCATGGTCATCAAGCTGATGCAGCGCTGGAATAAACTGGATCAGAGGGAATACCCGGGCTCAGACGCCCCACCCAAGGTACGGCCAGGTCCAAACGAGGTCAAATCTGATTGGTGGTGCAGTGTGGCCTTCTTCATTTCGTGTTTCTGCAATGAGTGTAGAAGGTGAAATCACCACCGGAGGAAGAGAAAAGCTCCTCGGCTGTAAAACGGATCCTGTTTGATTTTAGATTAAGAGACGATCTTTGCTCTTCACTCACCTTCAAATGTGTGGGGGGGGGGGTTTGTGTTTTTAAATTGAAGTAAAACAAACAGGAGACAATCAGCATCTGTAGAACAAGAAAATACAAATAATAAGCTGTTTATTGATGATAAACAAGCAAAAACAACCTTTAATATCTCCAAACTGTGACTGAAGTATTAGAGGCTGGAGAGGCACGAGGAAACCGGATGTGGTGTAGGAACTGAGGAGGGAGTGAGAACAGAGGGACTCAAAAGCCCAGGGTTGATGAGTGGAGTGGCTGCAGCTGTGACCGATGAAACAGAGACTGGTGGAMAGTATACTGACTAAGGCTGGTGGTACAGAGGCATACACAAAGACTAAACAATTAAAAAGTAACAAGATAAGAATCACAAAATAAAAAATAAAATGCAATCCCAATAATAAACACAAAAAAACAACCAAAAGACACAAATCCTGACATCCAAAGAGACAAAAATCCATGAGAAATCTGATTCAGGAAAATRAAGAAACGAGGAAGAGGAGTCACCCTCGACTGTCTGTTTCTGATGCAGTTCTCTGCAGCCATGTGACAGACTGACCCACTTTACTTTCTTTTCTGCCACGCAGATTGCAAATGGCACCGGGGCAAGAAGGCATCACGCCATGGTGGTTTGCAAACCTCCTCCCTCGAGCAAATCTGTGTGTCCGGCAAAGATTTCTATTTTAACAACCAGATGCAGCGGAGTGGAAGAGTCCTGCAGATTGTATGAATGTGTGTAGTTTGATGAGTTGGAGAGCTTCAAATTAAAATTTTATGTCACAGCCTGTATGAATGTGTGTGTGCATGTTTATCCTCCACACATTTCTTGATAAATTGCTTTCTCTCCTGGAAATCCACTCAGCCTAAATGACTCTGCTCCCCACCAAGTCCTCCACAGTCAACCTGACTCTGTTAATATATTAACACGACGGTGATCCAGGCCTTCCTCTGGCACGTTTGCTCACTTTGGGAAAGAGATGTTTAAAAGTTCCACTTGTGGAGCCGGTGAGTTAATGAGTTAGTTTTATATATATGGCATTAACTCCCAAGCTAATTATATTAGTTCCAGAGCTAATGCTAATAATATTAGCCTGGGAGTTAACGTCTCATATATTTTAGTAATATATGAAGTTAGCTCTAGAGCTAATGTATTAAACATATTTATTTGGRCAGAACATAGAAACTAATACAAAAATATGAATGTATTGTCAAACCTAATAGCTTTTTAGCCTCGACTCTTTGTGTTTTAGTCTCAAGTGGCACCCATCATCATCATCATCATCATCATCATCATCATCATCATCATCATCATCATCATCCCTTTAAAGCAACAAGAAAAGTCTGTGTTTTATTTATTGTATTTTAAGCCCAAAGTGATTTTTATAGTTGCCAAATAAAAGAGGAAGATAAGAGGAGGCAGAAATCAGGTTTCAATGAATCTAACGCATACTTTGATTGTGTGTGTGTGTGAGAGTGTGTTGCTGTGGGCAGCTTGTCAGGAGCAACAGGAAACAGGGAGCAGCAGCCTGAATGTCACTGTGAGCAGCAGCTTAATGAATAGGATTCACCCCGGCCGCAGGCAAAGTTAATAAACTCCTGCTATCTGGGATAATTAATGCCCGGCTGTTTCCCGGCTGGACACAACAGTTGCCTCTTCCCATTCCCTCACAACACCCCCCCCCCCCCRCGCACACACACACACACTCCTYCCAGTCTTTCTGCCTCTACGTCAATCACTCAATTAGTTGTCTGCCATGCCAGAGGTGAGTTTTAGGGAATATCTGTGGCTCATGTGAGAGTTATTGGGATTTTTTTATTATTATTATTTTGAAGGCCAAATAATGAGAAGCAGCTCAAAAAGACTTGGAGTCAAAGATAAATTTGGGTAAATTGGGAGGTTTACACTTGAGGAGGGGGGGTTCTTATGTTTTACTCTTCACTTCCCTCTCGTCCTGTTTTCAGAAAATAATGAGCAGAAACCTCTGCTCCTCTGTAACAACACAGGCTGTCACGCCGAAGCGCTCGGCCCAGCAAAAACCCTCTCGCAGAGGCAGATTGTTTTTAAAAAGATCTGACCAGCAGAACAGCATGCCTCTCTGGCTAAATCAGCATTTAATTGGTCTCATACCTTTTCAGGGTTCGTGTCCCACCAGTGCTGTAACGGCAAAACAGACAGAACAGTTTACGAGGACTGTAATTTACAAATCACACGCTTCCCGTCCCCGCTGAGCTGTGCCTCACTTTTATAACTCTGAGTGGACCGCAGGAGAACTCCGGTTCTTAATGAAGTGCTTAGGCAGGAGCGTGGTCCAGCTGCGTCTGAGCGCAGTAATGTCTCCGCCTCCTGTCTCGCAGTACACCTCGGCGCTGACGTACGACGGCGTGATGGTGATGGCCGAGGCCTTCAGGAACCTGCGCAGGCAGAAGGTGGACCTGTCCAGGCGGGGCAACGCTGGAGACTGCCTGGCTAACCCCGCCGCCCCGTGGAACCAGGGCATCGACATGGAGCGAACGCTCAAACAGGCGAGACAAACACAAGTCTCATGGAAAAAATGATTCTGATTATTTTTGTGTGAATGCAACACAATTAGGATTATTCTTCCTTCTATATGTTTTTGACACGTCACTCGTTCTGCAATTTTTGTGTTATTTCAACAATTTATATATTAAAACGTTTAGCTCCTTCTGGACATTCTGGCTTTAACTTTTGGTGATTCAWCAATTTATACCTTTGGAGATATTTAGCTGTTTTGGACTTTTTTTCTCATTGAAAATGAATGGAGCTATTCTTACATCCTTAAAAACCTTCAAAATGTTCAAAAATCTTTACTGTCCTTTTTACTTTGTGTTCTAGTTCTGCTTTTTTAAATTCTCTGTGCTAATTTTAGCTTCACTCAGCTTCTATCTAGCTGATTTTAACTATAAGTTTAAATTAGCAGAATAGCTGAAAAGAGCAGAAAAATGTCTGAAAAGGCCAAAAACAGATARAATTTGCTAAAAAGAAGCTGAAAATAAAACAAAGAAGATAAATGAGAACAAAAATGGCTGAAAAAGATAATTATCTCAAAAAGTATAAACTGCTGATTCACCAAAAGTCCAAGCCAGAATGTCCTGAAGGAGATGAACGTTTTGATATATGGATTGTTAAAATAGCACAAAAACTGTGGAACAAAATACGAGTCGAAAAACATACGGAAGAAAAATGTATTGATTGATTGATTGATTGATTGATTGATTGATACTTTATTAATCCCAGAGGGAAATAAAAGGCTTCAATGATTCAAGGTATCATCTCAATGAAGTGAATGGTTAATAGTCAATCAAATAATTCTAAACTTTATTTATAAATAATGATATTTCACTGTGTAAATGTCAGAAGCAGCTAATTTTAGATGTTTCAGTGCAGACTGGGGCAGTTCCCACATTATTATTCTAATATTTCTGCCTAAAACCGTTTCATGCTAAACAAAATGTGGTTTAAAGATTTATACGTTTTCTACATTGGGTTTGTTTAAAGATGGCAGGAATTCATTTTGGTCATTAGCTCGCCAAGAATAAAACTTTCATTTCTCCAGACTGAAGTTGTTCAGGTAAGATGTTGCCTGTTTATATAACCCACATCNGAGTGTAGAAGGTGAAATCACCACCGGAGGAAGAGAAAAGCTCCTCGGCTGTAAAACGGATCCTGTTTGATTTTAGATTAAGAGACGATCTTTGCTCTTCACTCAACTTCAAATGTGTGTGTGTGTGTGTGTGTGTGTGTGTGTGTGTGTGTGTGTGTGTGTGTGTGTGTTGTGTGTTTATGTCCTCACTGTGTGCAGGTCCAGTTGCAGGGATTAACAGGTAATGTCCAGTTTGACCATTATGGCCGCAGAGTCAACTACACCATGGACGTGTTTGAATTGAAGAATAACGGACCCAGACGGGTAAGACGTTACCTCACCATCATTTTATTTTATTTTATTATTGTGTAAATCTAAAGTCCACTACATGCAGTCAGTTTGTGCTTTTTATGCTTTCTGAAGTGTTTAACCTGTGATTTGTGCAGAATTCTGATTGTAGAGAATATAAATGCATAATMACAAACCAAAGATGCAAAGATTTTGAGTTTATATTTAAACTAAATTAGCACAAAAATACCATGACTGTCATTATGAAGAAAATATGAATTTGATTGATTGATAATACTTTATTGATCCCAAGGGGACATTACAGTTTAGAATTTAGAGAAGAAGGAAGTTGTATTTTTATTAACAGATGTGTATTATTTCATGATATCAGTGTCGGGTAACACCAGTGTGTTTAGGTGGAAACAAATGATAGGCACACAAACATGTTTTTAAAGAGTTAATATCTATTTCTGCATCAAGGCCCTTGGGTGACAAGGTGCCTGGAGTATAAATCTAAAAGGCCACATGGTAAAATATTAGTTTCAGTTTAAAAAAGCAGACATATACGCTCCATGTCCTGCAGGAAGCTTCAAACTCTCATTAATAATCAACGGTGTTCAGAGATGTAGGTAAAAATAAGCTAAAACGTTAAAACAACACTTTACTGATTGAAAGATGAACATATGAGTTTGTTTTTATCCTGTTCTTGAATTAATGTTGATGTCAAATTTATTTGTAAGACTTTACAATAAAACAAAATAAAAATAAAATACAGAAGCACACTATAAGAAATCAAATATCTGCTACTTTAACTGGGTTTTTAAACATTTTAGTTTGTCGTTTTTGTCTATGATGCCATCTCTGGGCTCCAGTGAAAATGTTAAAGACTCGCTGTAACACCAGTTATTTAAAAATTTTTTTAGTTTTTCACTGGGAAAGCAGCAATAACATATAAATACTAGGGGCCTGTAGTATTTCACTGTTCAGAACAAACTTTGCTCAAATAAAACTCAAAAGTTGATTTGTTTCTCCTGGCTTCACAACTCTCTGCAGAATTTAATCAGAAAATTCAGAAAATTTAAACTCTTRGAATAGTTTAATAAATATTAAGTAGTTTATCTAAAAATAAGCAACAGTTATAAAGCATTATTTTTGCCTTTTAGCTGTAAAATCTTTAAATTATTTCCCTTTTTTAACCAGCTGCACAGTTTATACATCCTTATAAAATTAGAGCAGTGTGCTGCTGTCAGAGGGTTAGCATTAAATAATAAGCGACGCGTCGTTTTCTATTATCCTAATTGAGCTGAAAATAAAAAACGAAGTGTCTCTGGCTCGGTGAGAGGATGTGTGTGTTGAAGAAACTGAAGGACTTGAAGCAGCGATGAGGGAAGGATGAAGGGAAACAGAAAGCAATCAAGGTAGACTGGTGGAGAGAAGGAGGAGGAGGAGAAAGGAGTACCCATCAATCAAAAGCTGCTTTGGCCTGTTCACACAACTGTGCGTGCGTGCGTGCGTGCGTGCGTGCGTGCGTGCGTGCGTGTGTGTGTGTGTGTGTGTGTTCAGGGTCAAAGCCTCCCCCGCAACATTTTCCATGTCCCCTCAATCATCTTGATGACCCAGCGCCCAGGAGGTGTCGGCGCTCCTCATGCTCGCCTCCTCTGACTGACTTATATCTGTTTACAGCTGCTGTCAAACCCTGTGGACTCTATAGAATCAGTAAATCAGCCCCACGTCGGTTCGCTTTACTGATATCTGCTTTTTACCGTTCAATCAGGTGGCGCCACGCTCGCGTCAGGCCCATCAAACCCACTACAGTCACGAGAAGATCAGGTTATGAACCTGCAGGTCACGACCAGCGGGTCACTTTATTTTTATTTTTTGAAATTGTCGATTTTAGCATGACCCGGATCTCCACATCACCTCGATGTGGGCGGGGTTTGTTATATTACGGCTACTCGACACCTCAACCTGTGAACGTGACGTACGTGACGAGAAAAGCAGGGCCCACACCGCGATCTTAAAATTTGACTTGTTTAGATTCAAAGAAATGTAAATTAAACATCTGAATGTTAATCATTACTTAAACACTTTTATTTCAAAATAAAGCTTACATGTCTGAAAAAAAACTTTTTTAGTTACCTCTAAGTTTTATTTTTTATTCTATTCTAATAAAACGAGAAATGACGAATGTTGGAGCATATTTACTAGTTTTAAAAAACCTTTCAAAACATATCAGTTTTGAAGGTTTGAACTTAATAATTTATTGTTAAAAAGCCTTTAGTTTGATGTGTTCCTCTTTACGTTTTTCATTAACTCAGCAGATTTTATGGCCTTTTTTTTAAAGTGTCGCCAGTTTATTTTAAGATTTGTCCACAACGATTAAAGGAGGTGATTTTCCTCCGTTTTATTATCACTGTCAGATGTGAAGCACCTGAAACACACACCTACACATTCAGCACATGAGGGCTGTTGATACTGTATGTCCCGCTGTGTTTAATTAATTACGTTTCCTGAGCTCAATCGTCACGAGGCGATCCGACCGGTGCTTCAGTCGAACCAAAACAAACTTCTGCCACCCAGGAGGCGTGAGACGGGCGCTCAGCTGACAGTCCTGTAATGAGTTTCATGAAACCCCCGTACGTAAAACGTTCTGAAAGTTTATTTTGTTGATCATAATCGCATGAATTTGTTAAGTCATTGGAGCGTTGTGCTAACAACGAACCTTCTTTGTTAAATTATGTTTGCTGTCTGAAGGACTCCCGGCTGGCTTGAGGATGAGGTTCTTCTCTGTGCTGTCGACCAAAACGGCTCCATTAAACCCCTCTGGGACTGTGTCAATAAAGATGATTACAATATTCCTGCTCTCATACTTTTTGTTTTTTCCTTCCCCGCCCCCCTGCAGATCGGCTATTGGAACGATGCCGACAAGCTGGTGCTGATCCAGGACGCCCCGCAGCTTTCTAATGACACCGACATGAACCGCACCGTTATCGTTACAACTATCATGGTAAGAGACCGGCATGTGCTCCC